GACCTCCTCTCCTTTATCTGGTCTCCATCTATAAAACACGAATTCACAGATTAAGCTTCTCAGGGTTTTACATGCATCTGGGAGAGTCTACATGTGTTTCTTTCTGTTGAAGCTGTGGGGAGAAGTCCAAAAACAGTTCATTGGTCCATACTTGGGTTTCACAAAAATCAGGTTTGGCATCACTAGTAAAATACTTTCACAGTGTCCTCTCACTACAACCTAAGAAAGCCACTGCAAGTAGCCAAAGGGAGTTTAATGCACCTTTACAGCTCGAAAGGGTCATTCCTCCAGGTCACCACTAAAGGTGGTAGATGAGTTTCACTGTTAACTCTGCTATGGTCAGAACGGGAGCTGCGATTTCCTGGGAGGCTGTTGTTCCTGCAGTCACATTCTGCCTGTGACTCTGTCTGGGCAAGGAGAGTGTCGTGGGTTAGACACAAGATTTGAGATTGTCCACCCATAGATCAGAAACACTGATGTCCTTCATGAAAGCTCAGTGAAGCAAAGTGAAGGTTCATGAATTGTGTACAATTTTAGCTACTTACTGCCATTATTTGACAAACACAAATGTGATTTGTCTTGTTATATGTGAGTTAAAGAGAAAGGTTGGTGGCTTCTTCTCTCATGTGTGGATCCTGAGTTAGGGCTGCTTGTCTTCTCCAGGTGACTATATGCTATTATAATGAGAAAGCGTAGAAGTCAGTATAACAAACACAATGTACTGTAACACGAGGTGCACAGAATGTTTGAAGAATCACTGTGTGGTGGTGATAAAACACTGCCATACTCAGGGCTGCTTTTTTTTTCCTTTCTTTTTTGAGTCCAGGTTGAATCTACTTCATTCATAGTTTGTTTAAGGGAGACCAGGTTCTCTCTTTGGCTCTGTTTGGTACCTCTTCTTGCTACTTACTTTTTTAGCATGTGGTCTTTGAAGTTTAAATCCCAACCTCTTCCCAGACAAGCACTAAGTAAAAAGGCAGTCTTTAGGGTTAGGCAGCACAAGGTAAATTTTCAGCCCCATGAGCAGGAACTCAGTTACATGACTTGTATTGCCATTAATGGGGGTCATGCTGGTAAATTCCTGTACACCACAGTGCACATTTACTCATGAGTGCAGAACTGGCACAGCTAATGAAACTCGCCTTTCGGGTAGCATGGTCTTTCAGGAGAGGAGTCTGACAGGCAGAAAGGACTGCTAAGTACCCAGATGAAAGTCTAGCTTTTAACTCCTTGAACATATTTCCAGAAAATAATAGTGTAAATTAATGCTGGTTGGTGTTAGCTGTTCTTACTGTTAGGGATCAGTCTTGCTCCAGTAGGATTCCATTGTGGCAAAGATCATGCCTGAAATGTGAATCCGTGTGCTGTCATTGAGTGTTGGCCGTTTGCTTTCTTGTCTGTTTTCCAAGTACTACTGGCTGCTGTTGTATTTTCTTTCAAACCTAGGCCAGTCCTCTGCTAACACCAGCCTCTATAATCACAAACAACTTAAGTTTGTTTTTATAATTTGTAATCCCTGCTACTTTCCCAAAGATGACCCCTCCTGTGGCTGAGCATCAGCTGGTGATTTCCAGCCCGCGTTGCTCGTGGGCATCTTGCACCCATTTGTTCTTGTACTGCCCCCATTGCAGTGATGGTGTCTTCTCAATTCCCAAACCCTTCCCTCGCCCTTACTTGGCGAGGCCAAACACGCCAAGTGCAGTTTGTCTGTTTGATGAGGTAACTTCCCATTGCCCTGGCTGCAGGTCTCTGCATCTAGCTGGATTTTTAATAAATCAGAATTGCCCGCAATATTCTACCCTGTTCAGTGTCTTAGAATTTCCCTCATACCCATCTTCACAACAACCCACTGTTGTATTGCATTTTTTACCTTTCAATCACATCATGGTTCATAATTGTTTTGTAGTCAAGTAATAGGTGTGGGGGTTTTTCTTATTTCATCATTTATAGCTGATGGTCTCTGAGCCTGCAGTAGGAATTCTTGTCATGAGATCCCAAGTTTCATGTTGTGTTATTAATTCTCTTTTTGGCACTCAGCTGTTAAAAGTGATTATTTTTCTAATGCATGATGCTATAATTATCCTTTGGATCATCAGTAAACTATATTTAGTATTAATAAAAATACTAAATTAATAAAATCAGTTTCATGATTCATTTCTGAAGGAGTTCCTAACTTAGGCTCCCTCTGTTCCAGTCTTTTATTTATTTCACATTATTTCAGTTGTAAAGTAT